CCGCCCTCGGCTTCGCTCTGGTCTGTGCACACGTTGTCCCGGTGGCTCTGCTTTTCCGAGTTGGGTCGGGCGGAGAAGAGGGCCGGAGTGAGGGAGTAGGGTGGGCAGAGCTTGGAGGGGCGCCGGGGTGAGGAGCGGGGACCTGCAGGCTCCGGGCGCGGGAGGAGCGGGCTGGGGCGGCGAGGCCTGGGGGAAGGGAGGGACCGGGTCCCTGGAGTGAGGGTTGTCGGGAGGGCGCGTGAGTGGGGAAGGGGCTTGCGATGGGAAAGCGCCCCATCGGCCTCCCTATCAGCCTCCCGGTGCCTGGGAAGGCTGGGGAGCCCGCTGTGCAGCGCAGGAGCCACCCGGGCAGTGTGTGCCAGGATGTCGCTCTCGTCTCCCTCGGCCTGACTTTGTCATTCCTGGCTCTGTTCTGCAAGTGGTGCCGCTCACTAACGCAGTGCCGGGTACCTGCCCTGACACCGTCACCTGCGGAAAACCAGGTCCAGCCTTCAGGCCGCTGAGGGCCAGCCCCTCCCCTGGCCTCGCCCTTAAAAAAGTTTTCCTGCCTGAGCTCAGCCAGGGGAAACAGGAAATTGCCCATTTCAACAGTTCTGGGGAGTTTCACTAAGTTCTTTATGTACCGACTTGCAAAAGTTCATGGAAAAGTGGAATCCAAGTATAAATTTATTTTGGTGCAGTTTTTTTATTTATTTTTTATTTTTTTTGCATTTGTGAGTTTTTTTTTCCCAAAATACACAGTTACCATGAACTTTTTAAGACCACTCCCGCAGACTTATCTAAATATTGACTGTGTAAAATGGAGCAACAGTTCAGTGCCAGGCAGTCCTCAAGGAGTGGTTTTAGTTCAGAAAGACAACAATGCCTCATTTGGAGTTGAGGGGTGGATCACCTGTAGGGGCTCCTCCTAAGACCAAGTAGTCCATGTAGGGCAGGAAGGCCTTTTCCCTCGGTCAGAAGCACTGGCACTCTTGTAACAGACAAGAGAAATGCCTAACATTTATTTAATCAAAGTTTTATGTGACATGGAAACCCTCCAAAAGACCCAAAACCTCAAAGGAAAACTCTTATTTTGATGGTTCGATTCCATGAAGAGCAGATAGCTCAGTAGAAATGTGTTTGGACAAAAAGGACGTGATCTAATGCTACTAGATTGGAGAAATGCAGCAAGGTTGGTGGTTTGGAGTTGGCCTGGATTTACAGCAGGACCCTTCTGGAATGAGGGTCTCAGGCTTATTCTCACAGTAGGTTGGCACATTTCTTTATAGCCAGCTTTTCACACAGAAAGGCAGGGGTATGTTAGAGTAATCGTTTTAGGCTTGTGATTTGGGTGGAGGGAAAGGAGTTCTAGTTCCAATGACCTACCCTGGGCAAGTGGAATTCTGGGGAGGATGAGGGGTCAGAGACAGAAGGTCAAGAGGTGAGAGAGACCTCCCTTTCAAGGCTGCTTCGGAGGCCTTCCAATATTCTTGAATTTACTCCACGTGCAAAGTCTCATGCTCTGGGGTTTCATTTCGGAACCCCCCCAACACGCCACTTAAAAGATTCAGGTTCATGTCCGTCCTCCTCAGCTGGGGTGAAGGGGTGTAATCTGACATTTGGAAGTTTAAGAGCCAAGTCTGCTGCCTTACAATTCTTTTTTTAAGGCCTTCCATCACGTGTGTACTTTGCTTGAATGATTATTTTAAAGTACATGTCCTATTTTTGCCAATCTGACAGCTGTTTCCATAGAAACTAGAGAAGAAATAGTCATTTTCAGCAAGAGTTGTTAAAACTGTCTTCCAGGCTTCAGCTGCGAGTGCCAGTGAGTGCCGTACTTGCTCATTCTGAGATGGTACTTAAGGAATTGAGGGCCTGAAATGTTCTTAGAGGCTAACAATCCAAATTGTTTAATTTTCTCACATCATTAATTTGGTAATCCTAGAAGTCTGCCAGCTTTGTTTGTTGACCTGCCACAGTCCTTTCAAGAGGACCTGTCAGCGGTGATTCTTTCTGACAGTGCTACGCGGTCTAGTGATTGGCCCTTTGAAAATGTATAAATAGATTTTTTTTTTCCTCCATGCTTTACCGTTTCTTAAGGATAAACCAGGGGTTACAAAATATCAGGCACTATTTCAATTCTAAATAACGCTTGTCAGTGATATACATGATAGTGATTTTAATTATATAGGTATAGCGATTGGAGCCGTAGCTTATACTTTCTGTGTCAGTAGAAAACATTTAAAATTTTTTACACAGTAAGGAGAAATAAGCAGAAGTTTGCTTGTGGTATGAGCAGAGCTAAGCAGTGGGAATAGACATACGTAAGCATAGAGATGCAAGCTTTCTTTTTCTGAGGGGGTGTAAATAAATCGGGGTTTGGAACTTAGTGGTGGAGGGTTGGGGAAAGTACCTGGAGCAGTTGTAGGAGGCTGGGTATTTACCATGCGAAGGAGTTTGTAGAAGACAAAACCAGCGGAATAACACAATAGTTGCCTGTTTTGTGGTTTACAAAAGTAATAACATCCTGTAAAAATTTAAACTACCCAAAAATAAGATGGAAATAGTAATAATCCTTCATAACCACCATCCTGACACCCAAAAATAACCGTTATGAATAGTTGGCGTGTCTTCCTTAAGTTTTATTTACTTTTGTATATTTTGTCATTACTACTTTTGTAAATTGAGCAGAAAACTTTTGCCTGTGTGTACCTGCAGTATCTCTAGCCCCCAGAATGGTAGGTAGCACGTAATAGTTACCAGTTAAATATTTAATGAATGAGTAACATAAATAATATTTCAAAAATGGAATGAGATCTGTGAATGTTTGGTCAAAATAGTTTATAGAAAAATATGTTTAAGTTGGTTGGCAACATTTTTCTTTTTCTTTTTTAATTTGCCAGATGTTACATGTAGAGAGAGGGAGAGGGAGAGGAAAAGTGGAAAAGCTCCCCTTCCCCCCCATGGAGGATGGTTAAACTACTATTCCTTTTCCTCCATTTCTCCATTCTTTTGGGATTTGGGGTGTGGACACACATGTGCCTGGCATGTTTTTCAAGCTTCTGGGTCTGGGACTTTAACTGCACAGTGGAATCCAGCTACCTTATCCACCATGCCATTGACTGGCCTGGTTGGCAACATTTTAAAATTGATAAATTTGGAGGCCATCAGGTGGCGTAGTGGTAAAGGTGCTGGACTCCCATGTAGTCGACTAAAGTTCGCGTCCCGGACCCAGTGGCTTGAAACTCACACCAAGGCGCATGTACCTGCATACCCAAGATCTGGAAAGGAGAGTAGAGAAGGGATTGCAGTGTGGCCATCCACCTGGAGGGTGATTTCTTGCTTTCTGTCTATCTGTCTCTGTCTTTCCCATGAGCACATGCACTCTATAGCAAAAATCTCTCTTTTAAAAAAATTGATAAAATTCATAGAAAATCTAAATTCCTGGCTCCCTTTGAAAGTTTGGAAAGATTCGATCTCGTGAAGTTCAAGTTTCATTATTTTTGTTGTACTTCCTTCAGGCGAATCTACATTTACATCACTGTGGCTTTGCTGATACTCATCTGCCCGTATCCTCCCTGACCAGCACTGTTCAGTACATGGCCACAGTCACATGTGGCCATTTCACTTACAATTAATTAAAACGAAGTTAACTGAAAAGTTTATTTCTCAGACATGTCAGCCATGTTTCAAGTGCTCAGTGGCTGCGTGTCGGGCGTACTGAAATGGGTAGCAGATACAGAACATTTCTATCATTGCAGTAAATTCTGTGTAGTGCTAGTGCTGCTTTAGACATTTGAGTTTGCAAACTTGCTATACAGAGTTTTTACAAATATCTTTTATTATTATTTTTTAAAATAATTATTTCCTTTATTTTTTTTTTCAATTTGACCATAGCAAGACATACACAGACACACACTACACACACACACACACACACAGAGAGAGAGAGAGAGAGAGAGAGAGAGAGAGAGAGAGAGAGAGAGAGAGAGAGAGAGAGAGAGAGAGAGAGAGAGAGAGAGAGAGAGAGAGAGAGAGAGAGAGAGAGAGAGAGAGAGAGAGAGAGAGAGAGAGAGAGAGAGAGAGAGAGAGAGAGAGAGAGAGAGAGAGAGAGAGAGAGAGAGAGAGAGAGAGAGAGAGAGAGAGAGAGAGAGAGAGAGAGAGAGAGAGAGAGAGAGAGAGAAAGAAAGAAAGCCCCCCCCCCCGCCTCAGGATTTGAACTGTGGTCAGCCATTTGGGAGTCCAGCGCCTTTAACCACCCAAGTTGCTGAGTTTACAGGCACACCCATTGTGCCTGGCCTTTTGGTTGGAATGGGAATTGAACCTGGGCCTCCTCTGGGGTCCCAACCTATGGAACACAGTGTCTTACTGGCATGCCACTGCAGCTGGGCCTTGCCTAGTAACTTGTAAATTGTACCTTGGTAAGTGCTGGGTCTTTTTGTATTCTTATAACTATTCTTGAGCTTTTTTGTAGGGATGTGATTGTTACCTAGAAGCAGTTTGATCTTCTTAGATCTTCTTGCTTTTTATTTTTGTTAGGTGAGACCAGAGCAGTTTTTAGTCTAGGACTAATTTTTCTCTTAACACTGCCGTGTCAAAGCCTCCTAGTGCTCTGCCCAGTGCTCCTAGGTTGCAGGTTTTTCCCCTGTGGTGGGTGGTGATGGCACTGTGCCCTGCCCTGTGAGAGCCTTCTGACTGGCTCTCTAACCCTGGCAGGTGCTGCTTTCCCAGCTCCAGGAGATTTTCTCACACACACACTCTGAGGATACCCAACTGAGTACGAGAAGGGGTTCTTGGCCGACATCCAGTGTGTTTTTAGTTCTTTCTCTGAAGAGCTGTCTTCTTTGTATTAACTCTGCCCCGTGAGCTCTACCTACCTTGGCATACTTGAATTCCCAGTTTCATCTGTCCAATTTGGGGAGGAGGGAGCATCGTGCCCCACCCAGGTTTACCCCATCTATTGTGGCCCGAAAACTCTCCCCAGACAGTGAGCTGTGCCAGTGGTAGGATTTATCTTATTTCCCATCTTGCGGGGGTCACTATCCTTCACTGCTGAGTGTCCAGTGCCTTTTACGATTAATAGTTAGATTTCACTATTTCATGATACGCTCTGCCTCTCAGCCACTGCGAACTGATAAAATGTTACTGTTGTTTTTATATAATCCATTTCTTATACTACACGTAGTGTTCTGTTATAATAAAAAATAAACTCCTTTCTAAAAATAAAAAGGCGGTGAGAAAATTTTCTAAAATACACATTGTACAGTTAAATGGAATTCTATATATATTCCTCTGGTTCGTATTGCTAAAAGGCATTGCTGTAACTACAGATGCTGAGGAGAAACCCAAGATCATTTAGTCTGACAGACATTAAAGGAAGAACAAGTGGCACACCTGTTCTTAAGTGTAGTATTTCCAGTTTGGTAAACATTTTCCATAGATATTTATAGTTTATTTTTTGTGTTCCAGGTAATCAACCAAAAGAAAGATGCACTTACTCTGTGGACTGCATTCTGCTGTTAGAAACTGTGTTTCCTTCCGTTTTAATTCACTGGCCAGCTGGAGAAGATACAGCGCACTAGCAGTAGCCTCACTCGGATGTCATCGAGTACAAGTTAACCACGTGGTAAACAGGTGTCAGGGCCTGGGAGCAAATCAGTGCAGTAGGTTGACTCTTCTGCCTGGAAACTCTCATTTCTATAGGACTTGGAATAATAAAAGACCAAGATACCTCCCAAGTACTAAAAGCCAGGAGAATGGGGTGATTACCAGCAAACGTACCACGTGGACTGACTCTTTTTCAAGACAGCTACTGAAAAAAGGAGGTCCCGTCTTCCTTGCTCTTTCAGCGTTGCGTCCCCTACACTGTTTTCCTGCGAGAGCTCTCAGGAGTTTCCACACTTCTTCACGGCTGCAAGCTGCTCCACTTCCTCTCTTGTGGATCATTCTTAAACCAGTGCAGAAACTGCTTGCTATCATTGTAGGCAGGTAAAATAGTTTTTAATTTTTTTGCATTAACATTTTGTATGGGCTTGTATTAACTTTATTGATTAAACTTGTATTTGTTAAACTAAGGTTTTAAAGAAACTCTGTTTGTGCCCACCCCTGGCCCGACCATATTTACCTCCAAGTTAAGTTTTTGAACTGGAGATCCCACCTTGTTTTGTTATGCACCATGTAATAATCTTGAGACATTTTGCTACATTTTAACACTGATGATAGAGAAATGTGATTATAAAAAGTTATTCTTACATACAGTATTGACATTTGTTTGAAAGACTTGATATGAGACTTGAATTAGAAATGGTGGCAGAAATTCTTGTTCAAGAACTGTACTTGCAAGTATTTCTTTTTAGTTTGTTGAATTTGAGGAAGTGAATCATGAAAATGAGTTTCTCTGCTTATATGAGGAGACTTCAAAACGTAGAAGATGAAATTAAATTATGTGTTTTTTTAAATAATTATTTTATCTAAATTTATTTATTTGTTTATAATTTTGATGGAGAGGGACAGAGTGAAAAAGAGAGTAAGAAACAAAGTGAGAAAGCAAGCCTCTAGGTCCAGGTCTCAAACTGTGGTCAGCCATGTGGGAGTCTAGTGCCCATTACCACCATGAGACCTGATGGCCCCCAGAATATTTTGAAATTTAGGAATAGTGTCCCCCCACCCCTAGATTTTTGCTATAGGGTGCGAGTGCTCGCTGGAGAGGCAGAAGGAAAGCGAGAAATCACCCTCCAGCGTTATGGCCATGCTGCAGTCTGTTCTCCATTCTCCTCTTGGGATTTTGGGCACACATGTACAAGTAAACCTCTGATCTAGAAAAAAAACAACCAAAAACACTGGGAAAATTACTAAAAAAAATGAGAATATTATATGAGAAATGCTGGATACCATTAAGCACCCAAACATCTGGATAATCAGTATCCCAGAAGGTGAAAAAACTAATAAGGTCATTGATAATGTATTCTGGCGTGAGTTTTAAGCCGCTGGGTGCGGAACTCGAACCACAGTGAACTACATAGGAGTCTAGCAACATAACCACTACATCATCTGCTGGTCCCATGAATAGGTTTTAATAATTAATATTTTTACAGCTGAATAGTACTTGAATCTTTTATTTTCTCTTATTTGTTTTATGGAAATTGAAGGAATCCAATCATTACCTCCTCATAAAGCCTTAAGTTTGATTACTATGAAGTCCTTTCTAGCTACCTTCTTACTTCCTTACTAATCAACCCAAATTTTATTTTATCAAATATTGAGAACTTCTGTGCAATTTGTGTTCTCTCTGATTTGATCTTGGCACCCAGAAAATATACAAGTGTATTGGCTCTCATTTTAAGTACTGAACTCATTCCAGATTCTTAGGTTAATAACTGATTTCTACTGTGTTCTCATTCTTTTATTTATTAATCTTTAAGTTTCTTGTTGTCACTATTGTAAGTCACCTAAAATTTCCCTTTAGAATATGTCTTGCAAACATTTAAAATGAATAATGATGTCATATGTGTTTTTTTCTTTCTTCTTTTTTTTTTTAAGAGAGATTTTTGCTATAGGGCACTGCACTCACCAGAAAGACAGAGGAAGAGAGAGACAGAAAGTGAGAAATCACCCCCGAAAGTGGATGGCCACACTGCAATTCCTTCTCCTTTATTCTTCCCTCAGGAAATTGGGCATGAATGCCCATGGGCCCTGCATGGTTTTTTTTTTTTCTTTTTTTGGAGAGGTTTTTGCGATAGGGCGCGTGTGCTCGCCAGACAGAGAGAGACAGAAAGCAAGAAATCATCCCCCAGGGGGGATGGCTAGGCCCCAATCCCTTCTCCCTTCTCGTCTCAGGATCTTGGGCATGCACGCACATGTGCCCGGCGTGAATTTAAGCTGCTGGGTCAGGAACTTGAACCACGGCCAACTACATGGGAGTCCAGCAACATAGCCATTATGCTAACTGCTGGTCCCAAGCCCTGCATGATTTTTAAGCTGCTGAGTCCAGGACTCAAACCATGGTCGACTACGTGGGAGTTCAGTGACATAACCGTTACACCATCTGCTGGTCCCCTTTTATGGTTTTAAATAGGAAATAAACATACTTTATAATCTGGCTTTTGTCCATTCAGGTTGAAACACTTTGTCTAAAGGCATTTCAGGTGTGTCACTTAACATTAATAAAATTTTAGCATGCTGGAACCAGCAGATCGACTAATGTTTACATTGCTGGACTCCTACATAGCCAACTAAGGTTTGTGTCCTGGACCCAGCAGCTTCAAACTCCTGCTGGGCATGTGTGCGTGCATGCTCAAGATCTTGGGAGGAGAATGGAGGACAAGGGATTGTGGTGTGGCCATACCCCTGGTGGGGGAGGGGAGGTGATTTCCCACTTTGCCTCTCTGTCACTTTCTTTCCAGGGTGTGCATGTGCTCTATGAGCAAAAAAAAACCTCTCTAAAACATTTTTTTAAAGAAGTTATTTTGCACATTTTTATCAGGATGTATATGTCAAGTTTTTGTTGTGATTTTATAGATGAACTCACAAGAACAAAATTTGGCCCCAGTTATTGACAATATTGCTTGTTAAAATATTTCTGAATGCTGCAGTATGGAGTATTATTGCCTGGTAGAACTTGGGCCTCAGGTGTTATCTATATAAAATCTCTCATTTCCTTATTTACAGTGCTCATGATCTTATTACCCCTCTTTTCTCATGTTCTTAGAGAGGATAGTGGAGTTTCTGCTACTGAGAACTGTTTATTTACAAAAATCAGTGCCAAGGTAGTTTTCCTCGTACCTTGCTTAAAGCACTGGCAGATTGCGCTGGAAGTCAGAGGAGCAGTGGGAAGAATACTGGTTAAAGATATAGATTTGGTGTACCATAACCCCTCAGGTGTTTGTTTATCTGTGCAGTTCATCCCCATCAAGTGGTTAAATGGTCAGAATCCAGAACGTTACAGCCCTCGTTGCCTGGTTTTTCTTTTATTACTTCTGCGACTTTCAGCAAGTTGCTTGATTTTTCTAGATGTCAGTTTTGTCTAATGTAACAGGGTGATTATGAAGAGATTAAATGAGATTGCAATGTATATAATGACTAGAAGAATACTTTGCATGTGGTAAATGGCCAATGAATGTTAACTAGTGGTAATTGTATCAATAGTAAAATAGCTTCTCATTCTGTGTTTATCCTTAAAATAGCGGACGAAGAAAATTAAAATGAACATTAGAATTTTTAAGTTTAGCGCTATATAATTAATTGCTTTTCTGTCACCTAAGAATTTTTTGAATCGAGAAAGCCATCTATACAAATGAAAATGCAAGTGCTTGACATAAAATCCTAGCATATGCATTTGAGCTTTGGTGGTACTGCTGATGTGATTATCAGAGCTTTGAATTTTTCTTTTTGCTCTAGGGGCATAAGGAAATGGTGGCAGGCACTTCCTCCTAACAAGAAGGAACTATTGAAAGAAAGTGCGAAGAGGAACAAGTGGAAGTTACTCCTTGGTTTGTGTAGTTTTGGATTGCTGTTTGCTGTGTTTTATTTTACTCACCTGGAAGTGAGTCCAGTTACAGGAAGGAGCAAACTGCTATTATTAGACAAAGAGCACTTTAGACTTTTATCAGAACTGGAATGTGAAATGGTAAGTAGTAAGAATCATTTTTAGTTATATTGCTTAATATAACACTTAAAGCAGAAGTCTCTTAAATATGAAAGATAAGCTCCTTATTTAAAAAAATATTCATTTATTTATTTACTTTATTCTATTTGTTGTTATTATTCTTTTCAATTTCACCAGAGAGAAACAGAGAGAGAGTGAAAGAGAAAGTGAGAAAGCAAGCTGCCAGGTCTGGGACTTAAACCATGGTTGGCCGTGGGAATCCAGCACCTTTAACCATCACACCACCTGCTGACCCCAATGATAAATTGCTCTTTAATTTTACTCTTTGATATGAAATTAACATTTTTCCCAGGAGCCCTCAGACTTTTCACAATAGGCATTTCTACTTCCTACATTGCTTTTTCTTCCATTCACCCAATTGACACCTGCTTAGCACACATCACCTTAAATGCCACTTTCTCAAGAAAATCTTCCTTGACTATCTAGACTGGGTTAGGCAGGGAAACTGCAATAGATCAGGTGCTATAAGTGACCCAGAAGAAGATCCATTTGCTTGGCAGGAGTCAGGCTGATAGACCACACTTATTCGATTCACACAAAGGATGTTTTTAATTATAAGCTTGCAGCAAGTTGGAAAATACCAAGTTTAGCTCCTAAAGCAGTGTCTCCCTGCAAGGGATGTTAAAGCTTTTATTTAGAAAAAGTGGATGGGGTAGGGGGGCAAATTCGTAAAGTCTCCCATAGGTGCAAGAGCAGTAACTGGTCATGCTTCTCCATACATTGTGTTGTTTAACTAGGACTATAGTTTCTCCTGGGCCAGGGATTTTGGTATTATAATGAACAAAAGTTCAAAGTTCAGTGAGGATCTATTGCTCCCAGCTTCACCTGTTTCAGGCCGATGTGGTCTCATGGCTCTTTGTGGGGTCACGCTCCTTGTGAAATAGCCTTAGCTTGATTATATGGGGCTTACGCCTGCAGAACCAGCTCAGACAGCTGTTCTAGAACCCACTCTGCTTATGGTACTAGCAGTTATCCTTCATTCAGACTGAGTTATGAACCAACACATTTATAGTTGTGCTCAGTGCTCAGATATGATGGGCTAGGTATCCTATTTTTTTTTTTTTTTTATTTGTATATTCTGCTTTTTCTTCCAGGCACTTACATCAGGATAACGTAATTATTTGCATAATTATTTATTTTCTAGTGTGTCTCCCATCTTAGACCAAGCTCCGTATGGGCAGGGCTCTTGCCCGTTTCATCCTGAGTACTAAATGGAATTAGATGAGATTGCAATGTATATAATGACTGAAATGTAAGCTATGCAGAATAGTGCTTAGTATATGTTTACTGAGTAAGTAGATCTAGAGCTAGAATTTTTATATCTTGAAAATCCACTAGAGTTAAGATAAATTTTTTCAAATATCAATTTTGGCAATTTGTTATATTTTTCAAAATAAAGTTAAGAAAGTCTTAACTTCTAAGGAAAGTATAACAACTTAGGTAGTTAAACAGTTTGTGTGTGCTCTAGTGAGTTCCTTGAAGGAAGAGATCACCGTTCTGTTTCTATCACGTAGCCCACACGTGGTTTGTACTCAGCTACTATTTCTTGACATCTCATAACCTCACTTGATAGCTTTGGGATGGTTGGATCTTAATAAAGCATTTACTTTTTAAAGTTTACTTTATTCATGATGGATAGCATATACGAATGCATGAGAGAGAAAGGTACCCTTGGCAGGGTCTCATCATGCCATGGTCCACTTTTCCCAGTCTTCTGGCTCTTCAGGATCTTGGAAACGTGCACACATGCCTGACATGTTTTCTTTTTTTTTGGAGAGGTTTTCGCTATAGGGCACGTGCGCTCGCCAGACAGACAGAGAGAGACATAGAGACAGAAAGCAAGAAATCACCCCCCAGGGGGGATGGTCACGCCGCAATCCCTTCTCCTCCATTCTCCTCTCGGGATCTTGGGCACGCACGCACATGGCCCGGCGTGAGTTTTAAGCCACCGGGTCCGGGATGCGAACTGCGATCGACTACGTGGGAGTCCAGCGACATAGCCATTACACTAACTGCTGGTTCCCTGCCTGACATGTTTTCAAGCCCACCTGGAGGTTTGAACCTGCCCTTAGCTGCATTCTAGCACTGTAGGACAGCTTGCTACTGACTTGAACTACCTGCCTGGGCTGTCATGTTTAGATCTTTCTATATTTTTATTCCAAATGAGCTTGTGAGTTTATCTTTTTATCTTTTTATTCCAGATGAACTTTTGAGTTTGTCAATGGAGAGTTACCATTAAAAAAGGAATAACAATGGTTTTTGCTATAAATACTGTTCTTAATCAAGATAAGACCAATCTCTTACAGAATATATACAGAGATTTTAGATTTTTTAAAAAGGAATTATTTTGTTTATTATTATTATTTTAACTCACCAGAGAGAGAGGGAGAAAGAGGGAAAGTGAAGAGAGCAAGCCTCCAGATCTGAGGCTTGAACTGTGGTCAGTCATGTGTAAGTTCAGTGCATTCTTAACTTCTATGCCACCTGCTGACCCATGATTTGATTTCTTTTTTTTTTTTTTTTTTTTTTTTTTAAGAATTTAGCCTAGTCAGAGGCAGGTTTCAGAAAAATATTCTGGAAAGATTTAAGCATGTTAGTATTCATGCATCTCCCGGCATTCATATTGCTAAGAAATTTTTAAGAATTATATGTATATACTCATATATAGACAAAGGTACTTATTGTTTGAGCTATAAATGTAATACCTACTTAATATTAAAATGTAAACACAATTTCTTACAGAGATATTATAAAATGCTTTAATTATATGTAATCTTTTTTACTTTAGAAGGGTTAATAAATAGTGGGGAATTTTTTCTTTTTTTTTTCAGGTAGCTTACATTGATGAGTGATGGTTTTTTTTTTTTTTAAGAGTTTTTTTGGTATAGGGCATGTGAGCTCACGAGAGAGAGAGACAGAGACAGAGAGAGACAGAAAGTGAGAAATCACCCTCTGGGGGAGTTGGCCATACCACAGTCTCTTCTCCACTTTCCTCTCAGGATCCTGGGCACACACGCACACGCACTCAGCGTGTTTTAAACTGCCGGGTCTGGAACTTGAACCATGCTGACTACGTGGGATCCCAGCAACAAAACCATTATGCCATTCTCTGGTCCCTGATGAGTAAATGCTTTTAAAAGATGCTAATTGTTATAAAGACTTTTACATTTATATTCTACAAATTTATATATTTTTAAAAATTTTGCTATAGAGTACATATGCTTGCCAGAGAGACATAGAAGGAATGAGGGAAAGTGACAGATAACCTGTAGTGGGAATGGACATGCTGCAGTCCCTTTTCCTCCCTTCTCCTCTTAGAATTCTGGGCATATATGCACGTGTGCCCAGTTCATCTTCCCAGCTACAGGGTCCAGGACCCCAGCTGTGCGGATGGCCACGTCGGATCCAGTGCCTTACTTGCTATGGCACCTAGCTGGCCCTTTTAGATTTAGAATTTATTTCTTCGTGAAAATCCACATGGTCTTTGATGAATAATTAACGTTTGAGGAATTTGAGTGTTTAATATATGCAGATTTTATATAAGTCAAAATTAAAATGTTCAACAATAAGTAGCCATTTTAACTCTCCACAAAGAAATATAAACATTTTGTAGAACGAAAATTTTAAAATAAAGCACAGTTTTGTTTTTTTTTTTTTTAACTCTTTTAGTGGATGGAAGAATTTCAAAATGATATGCTAACAGAGGAAGATCCACTATACCTGGCTGTTAAAAAAGTGGTTTATCATTTGATTGAAAGTAATAAAGATATTCCAGGGATATCTGAGACCAATTGGGTTGTTCACGTGGTCGATTCCCCAGTTGTCAATGCCTTTGTGTTACCGGTAAGTAAATGTTTTCCAACACATTTTTGTTGTTAAATTTAAGGTCCTTGTTTTTTGTGGTGTTCTGATTGCTTTCATTATTATTATTTTTTTATGAAACAGAATGGACAAATATTTATTTTCAGTGGTCTACTGAAGAGTGTAACTGATACCCATCAGCTGTCTTTCCTTCTGGGTCATGAGATAGCACATGCAGTGCTTGGGCATGCTGTAAGTACCTAAAATGAATGCTCAGTTATTGAGCTATTTTCTTGAAGTTAGCTACTTAAATCTTTTTTTTTCTTTTTCTTTTTTTGCTGTAGAGTGCATGCAGTTGCCCTAGAGATACAGAGAGACAGCGAGAGAGAATGTGAGAAAGCACCCCCAAGGAGGGATGGCTACACTACAGTTTCTCGTCCTTTGTCCACTCAGGACTTGGGGCACATGTGCACGTATGTCCAGCATGTTTATCAAGTGGCTGTGTTTGGGACTCAAACTGCACAGCCGGCCATGTGGTATCCAGCTGCCGTAATCACCATGCCACTGGCTGGTACAGCTACTTAAGTCTTTTAAAGAACTAAATCTTTTGGGAACTAGCAGTTAGCGTTATGGCTATGTCACTGGACTCCCACGTAGTTGACCGTGGTTCGCGTCCCGGACCTGGTGGCTTAAAACTCACGCCGGGCATGTGTGCATGCATGCCCAAGATCCTGAGAGGAGAATGGAGGAGAAGGGATTGCGGTGTGACCATTCCCTCTGGGGGGTGATTTCTTGCTTTCTGTCTCTATGTCTCTCTCTGTCTGTCTGGCGAGCACACACGCCCTATAGCAAAAACCTCTCCAAAAAAAAAAAAGAACTAAATCTTTCAGTTTACTTTCTTTGTTTAAATGGAATTTTAATTTTTGATAATTGCTTTATTACCTGAAAAAATGTGATTGACTAATTTTGAGAGTTTTTATAGTATTTGATACTATAGTTTTTAGTATTTGATACAGAATAATTAGTGTTTCTCTTACATACTATTTTTATCACATGTCTCTTTTGTTAAAAAATAATTATTCTCAACCTTTAATTATTTTAAATAGATTTTTAAATTTCCATAATTATTAACATCCTCTAATCTAGTCAGAAAGATAATTGTAGGAAAGTGATATTACTAGTTAAGTGGGTAAATCCGTTTTCTTCCATATTCATTCTGAGAGGATAGCTTGGAGCATCTTTGGAAACGTGTAGAATGAAATGCCATACATAATTAATGCAGAGTTGCGATGATACCCTTTCCATTTTACACTTTATTGAGTTTTAAAATATGTACCTTCTGGTCCATAATTTTAATTCTCATGAGGTATTTATTGTCCTTATTTTATATATGAGGAAACTAACATTTGAATGACTACATAACATGACTAATAATGACAAGGTGGCAGAACTGGGACTTTCACTCAGGTCTTCCATATGCAAGTCTTGCATTCCTTCCTTCTACCACCGTGTCCTGGTTGTCGGTAGCACTTTTCTTAGAGAGCATAGAAATCAGGTTCATTTTGTACCTGTGATTACACATCTGTTGAACTTGGTGTGAGTCCAGGAAAGTAACATATATTTATTTCACTATTTTTTATTAGTATTCATTAAAACTATAAATGGTCCTTTTGTCCACATGATTAGAGAAACATATATTCTTTAGCTGAAAACATGAAAATAGATAGTATAAGGATTTAGTATAAGGATTATGAAATGATATATCAAAATGCAAGTAGTATTAACTTCAAAGGGAAACAACAATGCTTATAATTCTTGTAAAAATTATCTCAAATCCTGTTTCTTAGAGGCACCATAGAGTAAAAATGGGGGAAAAATGATGATGTGGGTCAAAGTTGTGCTTTTTTTTAGAGAGAATTTTGTTGTAAGGCATGTGAGCTACCTAGAGAGACAGAGACAGAAAGACAGAAGGTGAGAAACCACCCTGCGGGGGAGATGACCATGCTGCAATCCTTTCTCCTCCATCCTCCTGCTGGGATATTGGGTACTTATGTACACTCACCTAGTGGGAGTTTGAGCCGCCCGGTCTGGGACTCGAACTGCAGTAAGCCATGTGGGAGTTCAGCGACATAGTCAGTATGCCACCTGCTGGTCCCCAAAGTTGTGCTTTTTAAAAACAAAACAAAACAAAACAAAACAAAATAATACACAAACAGTAATTATCTCCTGTATTTCCTCTGAGTTACAGAAACATTTAAAAAATGTTTTCTTAAATAAATACGAGAATAGACTTAAGCGGTTGAAATAATGTTGTCACGTGCATTCTAATATCATTCCGATAATGGCTAGGGCTGCCAAGTGCATCAGTTTTGGCCACTGTAGCATGTGAAAGGTGTTACTGCGCAGTCCAGTTTTCCGGCATCTGTTCGGTGTCTCATACCCGGCATATGTTGTCGTCTCTTTGATCGCAGGCGCAGCAATTAGATAAGCATGACAAGCAAACAGAGGCCTTAAAATACAAAATGGTTATTAATATTTCTCTGGCAGAAGGCCTACATATTATCAGTGTGATATTTTCTCTTTTGAGAATTTTAGTTTTCAATTGATCTGGACTTTTACATGGTTTTCTTTATTCCACAAATATAATTGCTTTTTTTTTTTGGCTTATTTCTAGTTTTCTGAGACTGTATTAATAACAATTATATTTTTACATAATTAATAAGACTTTCTCTTCTATAATGACGTCATTATTTTGCATTTCACTCTTTTATAATAAAATAATTCCATTTTTGTTTTTCACAACACAGTTATTATTTTTCTCCTTATTTTGCTGGAGAGCACGTGTGCTCACCAGAGAGAAGGAAAGAAAACATCCACCATGGGGAATGCTCACGCCACAATCCCTTCTTTTCCAGCTCCCTCTTTTCAGGATTTTAGGTGCACACACACAGGCATCTGGCTTGATTCTCAAGCTGCTGGGTCCAGGACTGAAACCACACTGTGAGCCTTTTGGAATTCAGCCGCCTTAACCACCACAGCATGGTCTGGCTCAACTACATTCAGTACTTATAACGAAACAAAATATATTTTAAGAGGGCAGATTATATTGTTAAGGGACATATTTTATTGTTTTTATTTTTTAAAAAAGAATGATTTAATTTTATTTATCATTATTATATTTTAATTTTGACCAGAGAGAGAGAGAGGGAAAGTGAAAAGCAAGCCTCCAGGTCTGGGACTTGAGCTATAGTCAGCCATGTGGAAGTCCAGTGTTTTAACCACCCTGCCCCTCCTGGCTCCTGTTGTTTTCAGTTTTCAACCATGTTTCATACATTCAAGTACTGACTATTATGTTAGCAATTTCAACATCATATTAACATTTATTAATCAGTTTTTTTAAAGAACCACTTTATTTAATTTTATTTATTATTATTACTTTTTAAAATTTGACCAGCATGAGATAGAGAAAGTGAGAAAGCAAGCCGCCAGGTCTGCGATTGGAGTGGTGGTCGACCATGTGGGAGTCTAGCACCTCAACCCCCATGCCACCTGCTGACCCCTATTAATCAGATCTAATGGTGAACAATCTGATACGCTAAACTTTTATTTAGACATTACTACTCAAAACTGTTTTATATAAAACCATTTTTGGTTATTGCTATAAGTAAATATAAAAACTCATAGAACCTGAGTCCCTGGTGAGAAATATCAGACTTATAAAGCTATAAACTTTTATAAATGAATCATGCTTCAGCTCTGAGATGATGAAAATCAGAAGACTTTTGTTTAAAGTAAGTTATCATCTTTTTTGTATCATTTCTTGTTTTAACTGCTTTCTATGTTAGGTATTATTTAGTGTTTATTCCAAAATACAAGTATAATTAACATTTTATTTTTAAAAAGATATAGTGACTGCATAAGAAAATAGAATTCCCTGCTTTTGATTCCTGGTTCTTTTATTATTAGCTGTGTGAGTCTGGGCAACTCTTAAAACTGCTCGCCATCTCCATCTCTTTGTTAAAAAAAATAGGGATAAATGTACTTATTTCACAAGATTATTACTCTGTTAATATAAGGAGTTGTAGGTTAATGACTTGTCATTGTCTTCGATTCATAGTAAGTGGGTCAGTAATGTTAATTGAATGAATAAATGGATATATAAGTATATAAACAAGGAAATAGAAAAACAGACTGGAAAGAATAAACACAAGAGGAAAAAACTTTTGATCTTAGCTGGAGAAGGCCAGATAAATACATATAGTCATTTAATGTGATTATACTAGGTTTAATGTGATGAACTAGAAAATGTAGGCATGTACTGTCTTAGTTTATTAAATGTCATTTTCATTATTTTGATTGTTCTCAGGCAGAAAAGGCTAGCTTGGTTCATTTATTGGATTTCCTGGGTATGATTTTTCTCACAATGATTTGGGCCATTTGTCCTCGAGATAGTTTGGCAATTTTGGGCCAGTGGATACAATCTAAATTGCAGGAGGTAAGTCTGAGACCATAACTTGGAATTTTGATGCCTCATAGTGACTGTATTTTAATGTTACTATCAGTCAGTAAATACCAGATATTTTTACATTTTGTCATGAAATATGGGTACATTTTTAGTGTCTTATATTTTTCTTACTTTTAGGGGATATGTGAACATTTAAGTTAAGGAATACTACCTCTTTTAACTAATGGATGTAGATAGGTTAGAAGGACTTTGTAACTTAAAAAAATGTTTTTTCTTTATTCATGGCGGAACACACACACTCACACTTGAGCGTAACATGGAGAAAGAGAGAGGTGGGGCACCTTCCATGGTGTCTGGTCATGGCTCCATGCCCTCCCTCTGGTTCCCCAGCCCATCAGATCCTGTGCAGGCCATGCATGCTTCAGAATGACTGAGCTGGGGAGTCAAACTGTCCTCACCATGTGGGATCTGGCTTCTCTTGAGTAGCACATCCCTGCTGTGCCACAGAGCTGGTCCGGGAATTTGGTTACTTTTGACTATGTTCTTTTTTTTTTTTTTTTTTTTTTTTTTTTTTAAAAAATTTTTTTTCTTTCACACAAAAAACCACCATCAATCACTGACCTTGCCTTTTGTTCTGGGACTTTGGTCTACCAACTGAGTGATTTCTCCTTCCTCTAAATATTTATATTCTGATGGAGAACTTTTTTTTAAAAAAAATTTTTATAGAATTATTTACATATTTAATTCTATTTGTTATCATTATTTATCTATTTATTTTTAATTTGACCAGACAGAGAGAGAGAAAGGGAAAGCGAGAAAGCAAGTTCCCAGGTCCGGGACTCAAACAGTGGTCGACTGTGGGAATCCAGCACCCTCAACCACCATGCCACCTGCTGGCCCCAGAGAGCTTTTTCTTTTTTCCTTTTTTTT